GGCACGGTTGTCCACCGCTGAATGGCGACACGTTCCCACGGAAGACAATCCCGCGGACTGTGCCTCTCGGAGCTTAATAGGGAAGGAACTGCTGGATCACGCGTTGTGGTGGCAGGGCCCTTCGTGGTTATCGCGCTCCGAGCTCCACTGGCCAAAGTCTTCACCATCAGTCGACGACAAGCCGCTGCCGGAAAAAAAAATAGTAGCAGTCCATCTTGCAAATCATCAAACCCCTGATGATCTCTCTTCTCGATTCTCTTCGTGGCCAAAACTCATCCGCGTTACTGCCTATCTCTTTAAATTCATATCTCGCCTTCGCAGGACGCCTTGTCGCTCTAATACTAGCGCTCTTCAAAATCGTGCTCTCACCGCAGCGGAATGTAATCAAAGCAGACAGTTCTGGATCAAACGCATCCAAGCAGATCTGTTTCCTCTAGAAATTCGGGATCTTAGTCAAAACAGAACACTGTCTCCTAAAACTCCTCTCTTCTCTTTATCCCCATTCCTCGATGAAGAAGGACTTCTCCGAGTCGGAGGGCGGTTGCGACATGCTCCCATTCATTATAATCGTCGACATCCAATTCTCCTTGCATCACATTCCCTCGTCACCCTGCTCATCAAACAAGCTCATAACAGATCATTACACGCCGGACTACAGCTAACGTTGAGTGTGTTGAGAAGCGAGTTTTGGATTCTTCGCGCCCGCAGCCTCGTCAAGGCCGTCATTTTCAAATGTGTGGTATGCGCTCGTGAGCGAGCTGCTACCCCGTCTCAGCTCATGGGTGAACTTCCTATAGCACGAGTAAAAACTCCGTCTCGCGCGTTTCAGCACTGCGGAGTCGATTACGCGGGCCCGGTAAGAGTGCGGCCGTCCGCAGGACGAGGCATTACCACGAGAAAAGCATATATAGCGCTGTTTGTGTGTTTAGCCACGCGAGCGATTCATTTAGAATTAGTCTCTGATTACGCGACGCTTTCATTCCTCAATGCGTTTTCTCGCTTCTGCTCTCGCCGCGGACTGCCGCAAGACATGTATTCCGATAACGGAACTACCTTTGTCGGAGCTGACCGTGAGTTGCGCAGTGCTTATCAAGCTGCTCTC